CCATTCTTTACTTGTGTATGTATGATCTTCACTACCATGCAAAACATGTTGAGAGGAAAAACATATCTACGACATTTTTGTGCTAGTTAAAACAAAAAAGGAATACTGAAAATAATTGCTCATAATATTTCTGCTATTTCAATGATTAATAATTCAAGAGTCCAAGAAAGAAAATACAGTATTAATCTCAAGTATTAATAAATGTTCATGAAGGTATACAACATTATTTTATTCTGTTTTTATTTAGTCTTCATTGAGAATCGGCAACACAGCTGAGACACATCTTTACATAAACTATTTAATCCTAGTTCCCTACTTCAAGTATTACACCGTTTGCTTAACATTTCATCAGCCCTATTTCTGTCCATAGCGAAGAACGTTAATTAACGTTTTAGCATGTTTCGCCATATCCTGCACACTACACGCACAATTTTAGAGCACAATACATGTATTCCGAGAAATAAGTTTTACTATTTGAGTGGATTCGTTGAAAACACATCCACCACATGCTCTACATGTCTGTACAGCCATAAACTGTCCTTCCTTTCGAATTATGTACAACACAAGTATAGACATTAAAAAAGACCGTCCTTGAATGCATTCCAGTCTGTTACTAATTGACACTTAGATGCAAAAATAAACTTCACTGATAAATCTCAGCATGGTGCAAGATGTTAATAGAAAGGCTTGTTTTAGTTACATTGCCTGAAATAATTGTTTAGAAGAAAACAAAATAATTATAGTTTATATGGATATATAGCACGTACCATATTATGTAAGTAGTACATTGTAAATCAATTTTATGTGATTTCTTTTATTGAACAACTCACTTCCAGTTTGAGATTTAAAACTTTATCAAAATCCTATCTGAGTTTTAAATCATGTACCGGGTACGTATGAATATTCAATGTACATAATAAATAATATACAGGTTCTAAAATTAAGTAATTGCGCCAAAGAGGCAGCAATTGTAAGCTACGAGGTACCAAATTAATGTGTGCCGACATGATTTAAATGAACTACAATGTATACAGAAGAGCATGATAAGAACTGCTCTTATCTTCTAACTGTGGAACATCCTTAAACCTTACTAATTACCTTCTATTATTAGAAATGCACGTAACGCAGCATTACACTAGAATAGCAGAAAGAGAGTCAGGGATTTCCAGTTGCATATTTTTAGAATAACAAGTGGAGTTATCTAACTTGCTTATAGTGGCGCTGGATCCAGAACGGAAGTAGATTTACGCTGACAGAAAGCGCTGTGCGCTGCGCTTAGCGCTTAAAAAGTTATCAAACCAGGATCTGTTATTTATCATACCGATTATTTGAAGGAATATTGATCAATCTTTACATTTTTTTCAAAGTGCGTTAATATGGTCGATATTAACGCACTTTGAAAAAAATCTATTTTTTTCAAAGTGTGTTAGCTTGGTCCCAAATTTTAACGCACTTTGAAAATTTTTTTCAAAGTGCGTAATTTTTAAAGTGCGTTGTAACATGGCCCAGTGGTTCTTGAGAAGAAGATTTTCAAAGATTTTTCCTATATATTTCTATGTAAAATTTTGATTCCCCATTGTGGCCCCGCCCTTCCTTGGGGGGTCATGATTTGAATAATTTAGAATCTACACTATACCAGGATGCTTCCACATAAGTTTCAGCTTTTCTGGCCCAGTGGTTCTTGAGAAGAAGATTTTTCAAGATTTTTCCTATATATTTTTATGTAAAACTTTGATTTCCTATTGTGGCCCGGCCCTTTCCCCGGGGATCATGATTTTTACAATTTACAATCTACACTACCTCAGATTGCTTCCACATAAGTTTCAGCTTTTCTGGCCCAGTGGTTCTTGAGAAGAAGATTTTTTAATGACCCCACCCTATTTTTGTCTTTTCTTGATTATCTCCCCTTGTGAGGGGACTTGGCCCTTTATTTTAACAATTTATATTCCCCTTCACCCAAGGATGTTTTGTACCAAGTTTGGTCAAAATTGGCCTAGTGGTTCTTGAGAAGAAGTCGAAAATGTTAAAAGTTTACAGACGGACAGATGGACAGCTAGACGGACGGACGGACGAAATGTGATCAGAAAAGCTCACTTGAGCCTTCGGCTCAGGTGAGCTAATAACAACTAGGGTCATGTTTTAATAAATAAAATGAATAAGTTTCACCATGTAGTTTTTAATTTTTTATTTAAAGTTGCAAAAAAATGGAATTTGAAAATATTTGTTTAGAAAAATAAGGATGGTTTCAGAGGGGTAGTATTTTGAATATCATAGAAGGTTTACAATTTCTTTATTTTCTAGAAATCTATTATTTGCATCATTTGCATTGAAATCAGGTCAAAAAATATATACACATGTACCAATCCAGGCATCCATTTTTTGTTTGTATCATCTGTCCTTATAAAGTCAAAAACAAATTGTGCTACATAAGAGTCTGTCAGTATCAATATGCAATCATACTACTGTTCAAAACATTTTTCTAAAAATATGCACACTGAAATACATCTGATTTTTGGCTTCCTATCTTTAAAATTCAAGACTTCCTCGTCTCTGTATAAAATCTGTACCTTCCTGGTGTCTGATCATGCCTGATATCTGCCATACTTACAAAACTTCCCGATTCCTGTGCATGGATTTTGTTACAGTGTTGTATAAGGGCAGTACAATCCAAATTTTCCTGATGACAAATTGGACAACTAAATGTAGACCTATTTGGTAAATTTCTGAAATAAACAAAATACTGGATTTTAGAAGGAAAAAAAATCAAAAATTTTTACAGTATTCCATTTATCAACCTGTTAAACACAAATTAAAGTTCTTTATAATGAAAAGAAAACATTACAGAAAGTTCATGATCATGAAATAATCAAAACATGTAAACTTAAAGGTGCGGTCATACGATACGATTTTTCATCCGATTTTCATTCGACTTGCTCAGGTAAGTCGAATGGAGTCGATTGATGGGGTGGTCACACGATCCGATTTTACGTTCGATTTATAAATGATTTTAGCAAGAAATGAACTGGTACTTGTTATTACTTTTTAGATAGAAGTACATAAAGTTCTGTTCCGAGTCATGTCTCTGTTCTGTTTGGATATAAAGAATGGAAAAAAAATCCCCTCAATTCAATATTAGGTCATTTTACCTATCATGACGTTGATGTTGACGTAGTGTACGCGGTGCACATGTCAATGATCTCTCAAAAGTAGATGATCAATTGAAGTTTATTACTTTCCACTTCGTCAAAAAAAATCTGCAATACATTTTGGTCTACCATCAAAGGTGAAATAATATGCATCACAAAAGTTAACTTTGTATGATATAGGCCAGCCGTTGACGAAAAGTTTTAATGAATAGGCGAGAAACAGTTTATAAGACACTCTTCAAGAGTTGATAAAACCGGAACAAAATTAATATTCTGTAATTACTTAAAGGATAGACTATTTTCTTTATTATTTTTTATAATTAAAAATAAGATTAAAAAAGTATAAATTCTACTGAGAGTATGTAAATGAATTAATTATTGAAATATTTTAAGGAAATTACTGCTGATTATTGTAGAAAAATATCATTTGTAAGAGAAATAGGAGTTCCCCTTCCCCTCCCAAATCATTGACATCGGAAGCAAATTGAAAGGGGGGGCTAAGTGAAAGAGAAAAAAAATCAAACCTACAATCAAAAAAATGTGTCCATTGTCCAAACACGAAAATCATATTTCGTTGGGGGGGGGGGGGTCGAACTTCTTTCAGTGCCAATTTTTTTTTATGATTAATGTTGTTTCATGTATAATACGTTGTATTCGCACATATTTTAATTAAAGTGTTCGCCATCAAGAGATCAGTAACTTATTTAAGATTTATAAAAATAATTCGTTAGTTTATTTAAAACTGGTAACTTTTATTTTCTAAAATTCGGATTTCAGGTACAGAATGAAGTTGTCGCTTGAGGTTTCTACTATATATATAATTGCTATGTTTTGTAGATACCAGATACCGGTAGTAACAGCGACATGAAAAATTGCATGAAAGATCTTAATTTTAATCAGTAACATGTACGCTAATTTTAAAATATCCCCATTTTTAATAATGTTCACAAATTGACTGAAGTGTAATCTATTAAATTCAGTTCTTAAATAACTGAAAAAATATTTGTGATAAATCATAAATGCATAATAAAGACACAAATTTCCGTGCTCGCAAACTATGGTAAAAGAATACATGATTTTTTTTCTACATGTACTAGTAATTTTTCTTTTCTACACAAGGATTTTTGGTTTCGGAATTTTCTTTTTATTTCAATACACAGGTGTATTTATAAATAAAAGGTTAAAAACTGTTATTATTTTACAGACCTATTCTGTATTTTTTTTATTATTTCGTGTCGCTGGAAATGTCATTGTGACATCACTATTTTCTTCAGAAAGTCGATTGAAAATCTGACGGCCATCCGATTTCCAAACGACTTTCAGACTTTGCTTTCGACTTGGGTGGTCACATGGTACGATTTTAGTCGAAAGGAAATCAATTGGAAAAATTGGACGGAAATTTAATGGAATGAAAATCGTATCGTGTGACCGGACCTTTATAGTAATTTTATTTTTTAACTTTTTAAGTTTTTTTTTTAATTTGATACGAGTTCAATTTTCATGAATTTTTGCTTTCAACTTCATTGTGGTGCCATAAAGAAATCACAAAACTCAGTAGTCTGTAAAATCACTTATTTCCATCGTTTTCATCATATGCGGAGACATATTATTCATGTCCTTCATGAAATGGGTTGCTAAAGTTTCAGACAATTATCATTTTTGTCTACCAAGCACAAAAGCATTATAATCCCAACAATCAGGATACATTTTTCCTCAAACAATAAAAAAAATTGACTCGAAAGAGATATAAAGTATCTCTTAAGACACATTTTCTGTGTTTAATATGGCTTGATATTTAAAGAGTGTAAAACTGCAAATTCTTCAGTTGTTCAATTTTAAATTTTTGTGGATCTG